GGGGAGAAGGGAAAGGACAGAGATTGGATAAGGGGCATAAAGAATAAGTATGATTTGTAACAACGAATAGGCTAATAAAAAAAATTCCGATGTAAGTCACACTATTATCCTGTGTGTATTTCCTATCTGTAGTTGTGCTGGCCTCTATCAAGATAAATTAAAAAATAATACTTATATGCATAAATGCAGCATACTTGAAGCTGTTTTGTGCATTGTAGATTGTGTAGCAGCATCTGTGGCTTCTTTCCACTAGACCTTTTAACTTCCAGTTACGACAGTTAAAATGTCTTCAGACATAGCCAAATATCCCCTGGCAGGCAATATCGCCACTCGTATTTAACTGTTTTTAGATAGTCAAAACTTTTTAAAAATAGTTTTGATCCTACATTTATCAATTATATTTGAAAATTTGCGTTCAAGTTACCTAAATTGACAGTTTTCATTTCAAATTACCTGATATATAAAAATGAAAGTTACATTGAAAGCTTTGACCCATTAAAGATATTGATGAAGATAAACACTGTCACTGCTCAATGAGAAGTCCATGCCAGGTAAGGTGTTCCATATTAATTGCATTGTTTCTCCCCATAATTGAATTTTCCCATAAGCAGACTTGGGCGTAAAAGGTGACAATATAGGTTTCTCTTCTGTGTGAATAGTCTCATATTCAAGAACTGGTAACTTCTCAGAAAGCTCACAAAGTTAGTTGGCACCATGGGGTACTTGTGTTGTAACACAAAGAGATCACACATGATATGGCAAACCACAGTAAGCATTTCTTACATAAAGTATAAATAGAGGATTTGGGGGCAGAGTTGGAAAGAACTATGGTTTCTTCAATTCAGTCTTTCTTCAATCATAATAAATTTCTCCCACCTATGGACCCTGACTCTACCCTAGGAGTCATCTTCCCTTCAGTCCCAGAGAATGAGAAATCAGGGACAAATGCATGAACATTTTTGTTATTGCGTGGCCTGGAAGTAATGTTTATCACCTGTATCCATACTCCCCTGAAGAGAGCTAAATTACATGGTTCAACATAACAATAATTAAAGGCTGAGATTGCAGGCATGTGTACAAGAGAAAAAAGGTGTTTTTGGAAAATACATACCCAGTCCAATCCATGGAGAATGTCCCCCTTGTATAAATTGTCTCATGCCTGCTGCAGTGCGAGTTTTTTACTTTTCTTTCTTTCTTTTTTTCCCAGTGGCTGGCCAGTACTGGGACCTATGGTGTTATCAGCACCATGCTCTAAACAATACACTATAGCCAGCCCTGTAACTGCTGAAAAAAGATGTTTTCATAATTATTGACCCCCTTCTATATCAGGGTTGCACATCTGCTGATTCAAACACATAAAAATCAAAAGAAATAAATAAAGCTATAATACAAGTAAAACACAACACAGTATAACAACTATTTACAAGGAATTCCTTCTGTATTTAGTAATACAAATATTCTACTCAAGATGTAAAGAACATGGAAAAGAGTCCATAGGCAATATTGAAACCATACACCATTTATAGAAGGAGCTTGATCATTTTCAAGTGTTTTCATCAACAGGGGCTCCTGGAACCAACCTGCAATACCAACAGACAGCTGTGCATTTATATGGCTTCTTCTTGGTGTAAGTTCTCTGATGAAATGTGCCATGTGGTTTATGGCAAAACCTCCCAGTCTTTACATTAATTGGGGTTTTCCCATGTGTGAAGTTGTTCATGTCTATTATGGTGAGTTCCAGTAAACTGTTTTCTCACATTCCTTACATTCACATGGTTTCTCACCTATACAAGTTCTTTGATGGCTGCTGACGTGTGACTTGAATAAAAGCTTTTCCACATTCTTTGCATTCATGTGGTTTCTCACCTGTGTGAGTTCTTTCATGTCTTCTGATGTTTACCTTTTGGTTAAAAGCTTTTCCACATTCTTTACATTAATATGGCCTCTGATCTGTGTGTTCTCTGATGAATGCTGACATATGACTTTTTGCTAAAAGCTTTTCCACATTCTTTACATTCATATGGTTTCTCACCTGTGTGACTTTTCTGGTGCCTGCTGAGGTGTGACTTTCGGTTGAAAGCTCTTCCACATTCTCTACATTCATATGGTTTCTCACCTGTGTGAATTCTCTCATGCCTGTTGAGCTGTGACTTTTGGTTAAAAGTTTTTCCACATTCTCTACATTCATATGGTTTCTCACC